GCCCTCGATCCAAAAAAAAAAAAAGTAAAGAAAAAAAAGGAAAAATTATAAAAAAATTCAAAAAATTGTTAAAATATGTCCACGTTAGCGCTAGTCGTGCCACGTAGGACAGGTGTCATTCACGTCAGCGATTTTCGGTTAAAATTGATCGGATGGACTCAATTGGCACAATGTGAAAATGTTTAAGACTGAATTGACACGATTGACAGGTTAATAATTGAATTTGCATAATTATAATAGGTTTAAGATTTTTTTGATAATTTCTCCGAGGATTCGAAGGATCTCTCACTGACACTCACCCAAGAGAGCAGCACTCCAAGATCACTTTTGGACACCAGTTTGGGAGAACGAAATACTACACTAGTCAAAGAATTCAAAGGATATCTTCATGCCCCTAGATGCTTCCTATATATAGCATTTGATAGTTCTATTCCCCTCCCTCGAACACACTATGGCCAATCCTTGTCCATGAACAATACTTATACTTTACTTGTTCTTTTACTCGATCACGTCTATGGCGCGCGGCTCGTGCTCAATTCACCTAATCGACTCGGGTCGTGACATATGGAATAGGATATATCGAGAATTCGGCTAATCGTATATTGGGTGTCGTGTCAGTAGCTTGGTATTGATTCCTTTCCTTCGTTTTCACATCATAGAGTTGGCTAAAAATCGGGTGGGCAGGTCGGCTTTAATTGCCCGGAATTGGAGAGAGAGGGACCTGATTGCAAAAAGTTCGACTAATTGAAGGACTTGAATGCACAAACCACAAATTCAAGAACAGGCGTTGCGTGGGGAGCGCGAGGTGCGAAGTTGAGGACCGCAAATTTCCGATTTTATTAAATTATAAAAAAAATATTTCGCAGCCAAAAAAAAAATATTTACGGCTACGACCGATCCGTACGCCTCTTTGAACCGTACTGTAACAGTCGCTAAAAAGGCGCGCAAAAGAAGTGAATGAAGTAGCGACGACCACGTCGAAGAAGAAGAAGAAGAAGAAGAAGAAAGATTTGTATGGCGGTCATGGATTTGGTCCTATCCCCTCCTTCCAAATCCCTCTTCTCCTCCTCCGCCGCCGCAACCGCCGCCGCCTCCTCCGCCTCCGCCGCCGCCGCCGCCGCCGCAAGCTGCCGCCCCGCCGTCATTCTTCCGGTCTGTGCGTGCTGTGATTGGGAAGTGAACGCTCGTTCTGAACTCGGTCGTTGCTGATTTTAGCCGGAGTTTTTTGTTTTTTTGGCAGGGGTTAGGGAACAACGCGGGGGACTACGGGAAGCTGCAGCTCACGCTGGAAGGCACCGGCGTCCCCAGCGTGGTCGCGAAGGTGTCGCGGCTCGATTGGTTCAGGAACGCCGCCGGATTGGTCGACCCCAATTACTGGCGCGGCACCCTCCGCCCTCGCCCCGTCCTCGACTGGTACTCTCTCCGTCTCTCGCTCGATCGATCGATGCTTGATGTTGGGTTTGGTTTGGTTTGGGCAATTTCGAATGGACGTAATTAGACGTGTTCGTGTCGTTTTTCTCGGAATTGGTGAATTGGCGGAACGTAGGTACTTGAAGAGGGTCGATGAGGCCGTGCGAGAGGCGAAGGAGCTGGCTCGAGGTACGCTGCATTGCATCTCTGAGGCCACTCTATGAGCTTGTTTCTTGCATTTTCGTGTGGTGTCTCGTTGATGTTGTGGGATCTGGAGGAACAAATGTTCCCGAAACAGTCGCATTAGATGTAATCTTTCTTTTGCTTTTTCGCTTTCGATGTGATCGTCATCAGCGTGCAAAACTTCATCGGGCATTTGAAGGTAATTGTAGGTTAATTTTGCATAATGCTGTTACGCCTTTCTTTGCGCTGAGGAACATATTATGCTAATGAACCATAGGACGCAAAAATCTGGACTGTGTGAGGTCGTGCTCGATGCTGGCGTAAGACAAGGTGGTGACTTTTGAACCACTGCAATTTTTCTTTTCTTGAAAACATAGAAAGGTGAAAAATTGAGAGCAGATAAAGCATGGGCAATAATTTTTCGCGAGAGCAAGTTTGACTATCTCAAGATATTTGAATTTTTGAGTGGTCTGTCCTATGAGCTGCGCAATCACTTCTTTAGAGCAGTGTGTAATTTATAAAGCGTAACTCCTTAGCCGAATCCTTTCTGACATAAAATATGGGGCTTGCTCTTGGCTTAACTCTTCATCATGGAAATCTCTCGTCGTACTTTCCCTGCCTCCTTCCACTATATATTTTCCACTGAAGGATTACATTCTCCTTTCCAATCACATGATAGGAGCTCTTTCTCATTCTCGTTTTAGGTGGCTCGTTATCTTTGATCGGACACTCAGCGGGAGGATGGTTAGCACGTGTCTATATGGAAGAATTTGGAGTGTGCGATATATCTCTGTTATTGACTCTGGGCACTCCTCACTCGTAGGTTTCAAAGTTTCTGACTCGATCTCTCTATGCCCCTTCATACCTTGTTCTGGCTCTTTGCCTATAACTATGACGTGCTGTATATCTATTATCTGTACACTGATTTACTTGTTAGATCTCAGTCTGGAACTCAAGGAAACAGTACAATTACTTCATCTTTGTAATCAGGCCACCTCCAAAAGGACTTTCTGGGGTTATAGATCAAACCAGGGGTCTCTTGGATTATGTTGAGACGAATTGCAGAAATGCTGTGTATACTCCAGAACTGAAGTATGTGTGTGTTGCAGGAAGGTACATCTCATCACTTTGGTCCTTTTTCTTATCCTAAAATAGTTTTAAGAACCTCTGGTTAGCTGCTTCATTTTGGAATGTTCATGTAAAAGCAAAGTGATTAGCTAATTGTCACTATAAGATACTACAGTACAGAGATTTATGCAATTGGACTATATCTTGCCATGAAAATTTTATTGTTTCACTAATACACGGCATCTCCTCTTGTTGACCTGACCTAAAACTTGGTGTTCTGACTTAAGATCTATTAGGGGTTTATCCCATGGATGGTACCAACATTCTATACTCCAAGGATTCCTTTCGTGGTAGTTTTTACTCTAGTTGTTGTTCGTTCATTTGGAAAAGTTTTATTGTATTAGGCACCTGGAAGACTGGCTAGAAATTCCTATCCTATAGGGTAATTACCTTTCTCAAAGACTTTGTGGCCAAAATGTCTCTTGTTCTCCATCTTTCTTGATGAGCCTGAATTTGAGAAAACCTTTCCCATATCCTTGTAGCATTTTCTAAGAGGATATTCTAGCATATCCTGCAAGAGAATTTATCTCGTTGTATTAGCGAAGTTTTTGGGTTGCAAAAAGAAAAGAGAAAAACAGGAAAGAACTCATTATCTAATTTCAGCTGTGGAGTAGAATAAGTTTTTAGAGCATGCACCTATGTTAGGATGTAAGAGAATATCGGTTTGTACATGTTTCTCATGCCTTTTTTCGTTTTTTGTTTGGAAATTCGAAGTAGCAAATTTCTAGCATGCTTTGCTGATAGCCAATACGTACATTATGCACTTCTGGAGGAAATTACTTGCTGCTCAATATTGGGATCTGTTTCACAACTATTAGTGAAACAACGCGGCCCTTAAAGTCATCTAAATATTGTGTGATTCAGATGAGATATATAGACATTTTCTCTAGTGAAAGCGGATGCTTTACTGCTAAGCCTCTTGATTTTCCTTTTGGGAAACTTCATTTGGAAATAGAAGCGAGGAGTCCTCTCATTATGGCGCAATTAGAGAGCTAAACATGTTGAACAGATTCCCTGGAAATGGGACTCTTACATGCTTATTATGTATGGCTAACCAACAAGGACAGGAATATTCTGCACATGCTAAAATATCCGTTGAGTCATGCAATTTAAATTTTTTTAAAGAGAAAAAATCTGAAGAGTGCAGTGCTAGCACTCGAAAAAGCACCATGTATACTGCAGAACTGGAGTATTGTATTAGTTGGAACATTATCTCTCCATCTTAATGAAGATCAGACTCAAGTAGCAATTTATTAGCATCTGAAATTTGGACTCTTTTGACCCAAAAAAAAATAAATTTTGGACTCTGAACTGATAGTGCAAAGTCCAGGTATATACAAGGTGCTCGTATATTCGGTGGCTCAGAGATCAATGTTGTGTCCGCAATTCCAGTTGATGGAGATCAATTGATTTCTGAGGTTGCTATTGCTGATGATGTAGAAAGTGCAACATTAAACACCTCCACTTGGCGTGCCCGTTTTGTTGGGCAGGGTTACAAGCAGGTAAAACTAATTTTGGCACCTTGAACCATTCATCTATGGAATTACTTGTGGAGGAATGCATCAGAATTTTTATTTGAGTTCTTCTTCACGCCTATTTCTGAAACTGATGGATAGACATAGCGGAGCTATATGTTGCTAAGGAGTGGGTTGAAATTATTATGTTTTGATCAGGTATGCGGGCAAGCAGATGTATGGGGAGATGGAGTTGTGCCAGAAGTATCGGCTCATTTGGATGGTGCGCTTAACATCAGCTTAGATGGGGTTTATCATTCGCCTGTTGGCTCTGACGACGTATCCAGACCATGGTATGGTTCTCCAGCTATTGTTGAAAAATGGATAGAGCACCTCCTCGATTGAATTTTATCCAATCAATTGAGAAAACCGGGCAAAGAAAGCCTCCACATTAATTTAGGACAAAACTTCTCTAGATATGATTTATCATTGATATCGATTGACCGCTTGGGTAGTTTTTCTTGTTGAATTGTGGCAACTCCCGTATGCTCAGTTGTCGTCTCAATGATTCTGTTGTCGACTTATTTGTTGTCGGTTAGAATCCTAATCAAGCTGAAACTGGCATTCCAAGGAAGCAGCTCCTGTTTCCAGGAAATCAGTATCAAAGATTCGTGAAATGCTGCCTTCACGAAGCTTGGTTTCGTGGCTTGTCTTACCATGTCTTTTGGAGTTGATATGATAGGTTCTGTATTGTTGCCTATTGTGTGATTATGTTTACTTCATAAATAACCAAAAAGAAAGAAGAAAAACAGATGGGAGCAAAAACTTCAAAACACTCTTCGAGAAAAACTTTGGGTGTCTAGTTTGAGTTGGGAGTCGATTACACTTTCATTCATTTTAGTTTTTGTTTCTAGCAAAATGCAGAAAAAGTAAACATTCGTAATCTTGCTATGACAATGGAGACTGTCATTCTTTAGGATTCAAGACGCTTCACGTCCGAACTCCGGCGGTGTTATTGTAACCATCCTGAGATTAAGTGGGGATGTTAGCTGATATTAGAGTTGAATGTTGCCATCTTGAGTATTCAAATGATTTACTGAGTCGCACAGATACTCAGAATATTATAGCTGCCATTATGTTCAGGCTCCTGATGTTGCAAAGCTTTCGCTATTATCTTAGCTTCTCTATAGGATCATCCTTGGGCATTATGAACTACATGATACGATGGATCTTCATATCACTTGTCATATGCTATCGGGGCGAATTGCATGGTTTGTGTGATGAATCTAGAAAAAGAGAATAATGTCGGCTCGATTCTCATTGGTAGTGCCTAATTCCAATTACGAAGAACTTATAGAGTTAATGGTTAAGTGGTGATACGACCACTTTCTTGCTGGAAGCAAAGCCGCTGTTGATACTTTTGGTGTAATATGGAACTTTTCAGAAAACTTGAGGAGCCATTTCGATATGAAACATTTTCATGGGGACGAAATTAAGAAATTTTCAGAATGACTACCCTATCATTTGGGTATGGCAGCGATTTACTCTTTTCACTCTCGATTGCTTCGGAGCATTTTACTCTTTTTTTCTCACCATGGTGGTCCGATGTATGGAAAGAGTAGTCTGGAAATGGGACTTCACTACTCACTGTACCTACATCGTCTTGTCTTAAGTTGGACCATTGGATCAAATTAAAGAGGAAGTAACTAGCGCAGAAAACAAAGAAAAGAGAACATGAAATAACAAAGAAAAACAGCGCACAATGTTCACTATATTCACAATTTGTATTTCTCTGAAACATGAAGATTGACCGTGTGAATTTGGGCTTGTACAACCATCCAAAGTTTCAACAAGAAATCAACAAGAACCTCAAAATTATGAAATGGGGCTCATTTATCTAAGTATCTAACTGATAGCGACACAGTGGGCAGGAGTTACTACTCTCCAACCACCTGATGATGCACGGTCGGTGGAATACATGGGAACAAGGGAGTTCCGTCACCTTTTCCGCCCTGTGAAAGTCTTCTAGACAAATCGAACAGCACTCCCCATCTTCAGCAGCAAAGACCTTCTCCTTGAGCCCAAGAATGGCCGACTTTGCCGCGCCCCTCGTGACGGGGCCCGATTCCGAGTCAAGTTGCTCCATCAACTCATGCATATCCAAATCCTCCGCTTCTGAAATTTCCAAGATCGTCAGGTCCAGAATCGCCGTCATATGGAAACCGAGTGGATGGAGCCTGGACAAACCATGGGCGGCCCTCAGAATCCGCGTCGCGAAGGAGGACCGGTTCCGGCCATCAACGCCGAAAGGGGCGAGCACACAGTCAATGTAGACGTGGCTATCCAACTGCGATTGGAGAAAAGCCGGCGGAAGGACAATCGAGGTTCTTGCCACCTCAGCGAGGCGCCCATATGTTGTCGTGCCGCTCCCGACGTCGTGGAACACTGATTTCCGTCTAACCAACAGATTGAGGACGCCCGAGAATCGGGGGTCGTGACTGGTCTGGGTCGTCCCGCTCAGGCCTAAACTCCAAAAACCACGCACGGAAGGCATTGAGTTTGTCGGGACCAAAGTAAGAGGAAACTCTCTAACAAGATCGGCAAGACAAGACACGACGAAACGAGGACGTGCGAAACTTCAGTTTCGGTTGGGGGGGCGGAGAATCAGAATGCTGTGCGCTTAAAAGAAGCCGTCGAGTTCGTTTAAGTACGTGCGTCTTTGTTTCCTGTTTTGTGCAGCCGAATTTACGGAATAACAAAAAATAATAATAACAATTCTAAATGAGGAAACGAATCTTTTTTCTTTTTTCTTTTAAATTGGAGGGCAGAAGCGAGGTTTCCTTTTTTGCGACGCCAAATTCGCGTGTGTTCTACAAGCTTCTCGATTCGCACGGCCGTGTTTTTACGAGGGAATTTTTTGATAGTTGGCCTAGCTTCTGGGTTTTTTATTGGTTTAATTGACGAAAATTGGGTTTCGTAAATTGGGCCGATGCAAAATGGATAAAACGCCGAATTGGGCTGTCTTTTTATATTATTATTATTATTATCACGAAAAACCTCAAATTAGTACGCTTATGACAAATTTATTCAAATTTAAAATTTTTGACTACCAAAAACTCCAAATTGGTACACTTGTGATAATTTTACACTAAACTGATATTTTTACCATAAAAAACCCCAAACCAGTACATTTGTGACAAATTTACCGTATGTTAGTTTCTATTAAATTCGATTAATACCACGAAAAATCCTAAACCGGTACACTTATAACAAATAGAGGGTAAAACCCCAAACTAGTATACTCGTCAAATTGCCACGTGTTATCAAACTCAGCAATTTGACGGTGAAATTTAACATAAACTAACGGAGGGAAAATTTGTTACATGTGTACCAATTTGGAGTTTTTAATGGTTAAAAAATTAGTTTTGGTAAATTTGTTACAAGTGTACCAATTTGGGGTTTTTCGTGATATTAATCCTCTTTCTTTTTGGTTATGGACTGCAAATTCCTATTTAGGGGACAGGAGCATATATACATTGCAGCTCATTCGACAAGAGGCTTTTTGTTAGTGAACGAAACTCTTAGTCTTAGCTCAATTTTGAGCACCCCCTGTTAGTTTAACGGAAACAATAGAAGAATGTAAATATCGACCAATTACTTGGGTTTGGCCTAAAAAAGAACTGGCAATTCCGCGAAATGACATCCGAACCGCGAATACCGTAACCACTGGAAGTCTTTCGCACGACCTTATCATAATTGAACTCCGCCTCCTTCATTTTCTTAATAGGAAGGAAATAAAGGCCGACTCCGCTTCTAGTGTCTCAATTTTGTACAAGCATTTGAACGCCACTTGATTGAAGAAGGCGCGGAAGGTATTTAGATAAGCTTCCAACGTACCATTTAGTATGGGTGGACTTTTTCTCAACATGCAAAACAACCAAGTCAACCTACACTGACCTGGGTCGGGTCAACCCGTTCTAACCTTGTTTGACCCGGCACGAGAATAAGCTTCTTTATCTTTGGTTTGTTTGAAAATTTTGGAATGGTCAAAGTTACACAATATGCAGTCTTGTTTGTCATGAACTGAAATGGATAATATCCCGAAGAAGTATAAAATTTCTATCATTCCTTATTTTAAATTCGGTGAACAAAAAAATAATTTGAACATCACAAACATACTAAGATTCGCGTCCTAAATTTGTTTGTAACAAAATTTGATTGGTGTTTGAAGGGCCACTGATTTAATTAACCACTTACAAAACGTTGCATCACTTAATAAACTAATTTAGTGGATGAATCTTAGTATCTTTGACATTGCTCGAGTAATTTACGACTTGGCCAACATATGAAGAAATTTATTTTTTCTTTTTGCTTGAATCATCATAGTCACAGTTGAGGATTGAGAATAGTTGAATTTATACAATGCTCATTCTTGTTAGCTAGGATACATGTAATGTCTTGAAAAAATACATGTTATATAATGTCAAAGGAGTGTCACTTTTTTGGTCGAAAGCTAAAAACCGATACCATCGTGCCAAATGTAGGAGCTTTATTTAATTAATGTGTTCTTTTTTTCTTGTTTTTCTTTATTTGTTTAAAAAAATACTCGGTACATTGTTTTCTTTATAAGGTACTCTTTACGAGATTAGCTTTATTACGATATCTAGACATTCTTTTCTTCAATTTGATAATCAATTTGATCATAGTGATTATGAGAATTTGCAAAGTGCTATTTATTTGTTTTTACAATGTATCGAGCAAATTAATTCTGCGGTTATTTAAAAGCTATCATAAGTTTGCGACCAATACACAGATTTTCTATTTCTTTATTTCTCAGAGATATTTTTCTTAAAAATATTTACACATGAACAATATGACCCATTTTTCGAAGAAAAATAATAGGGTAAAAAGAGGGTTACCTTTGTTCGATTAGGGCTAGGTACGGATTGATCAAATCTTGACCTATTTCGAACGATCCCATTTTATAACCCGGACCCGGACCCGGACCCGGACCTGGACCCGGACCCGGACTCGCCTAAACCCGTATGCTAGATCTACGTTTAAGCACAAAACCTAAGACATAACAGAATATCTTTGAAACCTAAGTAAAGCCAATATAACTTCAGTGGAATGAAAAATCTATGGTACGTCAAAATCAGAGCGTCCGGACTTCGATTCGAACTTCTACGTGCGGACCTTACAATTTGATGAATCACCAAACAGGATTCCAAAATCCGGGGCAACCTCAAGCCTTTCTCCATTCTTCCGAGTCGATAGCGTCTGATTGGGAGCTTCTTTGCGCCGATGGAGAACAGCGACACTCTTGAGAATGCGAAAGAACGAACGTAATCATCGTATCTGATCAGGTACGCGGGCAAGCAGTCGTATGATTCTATATATATGATTTGTCTAGGCATGATCCATTTGCTTTGATTTTGATTTCAGTTTCTAACAATGGACACCGTCGTTCTTTAGGATCGAAGGGCCTTCTTATGGCAAGTTTCCTAAATGGAAAACAAGAAATCTTCTCCTCACCTCCATTGGATACCGTCATACAGATTGCTCATATTAATGATTTTCACGAACGAACAAGCACGTTGAAAATGATTCTCTTCATTCTGCATAACCTTATATTCATCCTATTTTTCCTCAATGGATTAAACTGCGGACATCTTTACCGAAGCCCGTCATCCAGAACGCTTTCGCAGCTTATTCTATTATCTTTGGGTCTGTATGAGATCGTCGTTGTGTGTTATGAGCTACACAATGAACTAACCTTCATATTACTTGTCATATGCTATCAGGGCAAATTACATGGTTTGAGTGATGTATCTGGAAGAAAAAGAATAATGCACAATTTAGGGAGAGCCTATTCTTATTGACAAAATTCGGCTCTAATCACGTCGGTACTGCCTAATTCGAGTTACAAATCACTTAAAGAGTTAATAATTGAGTGGTTATATGACCACCTTTCTTGCCGGGAGCAAAGCCGCTGGAGATACTTTTGGGGTTATATGAAACTTTTTAGAAACTTGAGGAGACGTTTTAGAACGAAACCTTTTACCGGGGGCAAAAATAGACTACAAGTGTTTTTTCTTGGGGCAAATAGGAATTTCCCCAGTGACTAGTCCTATAAATTTGGTTAGGCATCAGTAACATTGTTTTTCCAAATTTGGGAAAAACCACAAAAATCCTAAATTTTGATTACTGTGACATATTTATCATAAATTAAAATTCTAAACTTGTACTCATGTGACATATTTACCCTTTGTTAAAGTTTTGCCACTGATAACCATTAAAATCTGCCTATATGAGACGTCAAAAAGAAAACAGTGTTGACATGGTGTCGCGACCTACCCGTCCTAATCGGTTAGGCCAAGAGGTATTTGTTGAAGGATGTGAACATTAATTAATTCGTTTGAAGGACAAATCAAATAGTTCATTAATCCAAAGACCGAGGGACTCCCGAGCCTTATACCTCGTGCGACGAGAGTTGTCTAATGTACGAATTCCATTGGAGCCGCCACTAATCATAATTAAGGGTCGACTAGAAACCCTAATCAAGATGTGGGAGTATCGTCTCGATATGCGCGAAAATCAGAGATTCTAAAGTTCGGAGACTTGATTACACTAACGATCTAACTAGTGCCCTTTCGGTATCTAAACTTGAATGTTCGCTTACTAACGTACCGGACAGCCTATCGAAAAAGCTTAAGGTTCCACCTAACCGTTTTTAAAATAGAAAATAACAATCAATTTATTAAAGGTGTGCAACCAGATAATCATGAAGAAAATAAACAACCAGCGATCTAGCATCGTCTCTAAAAAAGAAAAAGTAGTCAAAAGCCCTAAAGTAAAGCCCTAATGGCTTATTCGATTTTTGAAAATTTTTTTAAAGGCTCATTTTTTACGAGTTTTTTAACTAAATCTAGAATGAAATTAAACACTAAGATTTAGTGAAATTAAGCCAAAAACTGATTTCCAGACATTCCCTAATTTTCTGGAATTTTTGGAATTTTTTGGAATTTTCTGAATTTTTAATGTTTTTTCAGATTTTTTAATATTTTTTGGTTTTTTTAAACATTTTCGCATTGTTTTTGGAATTTTTAATATTTTTTGTTATTTTAATATATATTTTGAATTTTTTAAATATTTTTTAATGTTTTTTTATTAATAAAATAAGGACTTCGAACCGGATCTCCTGACCCGACCGCCCGACACCCGACCTGACCCGACTCTCCCCGCCCGGGACCCACACTTTCCATTTTTTCTATATTTTTATTTCTTTTCTTTTGAATTCCTTACCCCACCTTTTTTTTTTTTTCTTTCTTTCTTCTATTTTTTATTACTTTTTTCTTCCCCTCTGCTTCTCTTCTGCGATGCACGTGATATTCTTCACCGAGATCCCCCTTTAGCATTCTTCGAACTTCGCCGGGAGTGCCCTACCACCGGCCGTCGGCTCGGGCCACCAGCGCCGATGATCGGCGCTGGCCCTACGCCGTCACCGCCGGCCGACGCTCCGGGGACCACTCCGACGACGGCAGAAACACACCCCCTCC